ATACTTTTCCAAGGATTTGAAGTGTTTTATATTTGGAACAATGAGGCGTACATGAATCTTGTTGCCGGTTATATGTGATATGAAACTAAAAGATGCCCCCAATTTGAAAATAATGCAACTAATTGTGTTTTTACACATTTACAAATAATTAGGTGGTTATGCGTTTACTTTGTTGATTGATCTTAAGTGAAACATGCAGGACGTAATGTTGTTCTTTCTGAGTCTGAAAAACTGAAAGTGATAAATGATGGTGTAACAATTGTTCAGTCCATAGAGCTATCAGATACAATTGAGAACGTGGGAGCGATGCTAATCCAAGAGGTTGTTCTTGGTTGCTAGATAATTCTCTTACTGAATCTTATCTTGATGCATTTCCAAGCATAAAATTAGAAAGATTAGATCTTTACTTTCGTACTTGCAGGTTGCAAAGAAAATGAATAATTTGGCAGGTGATGGTACCACCACTGCAGTCATTTTGACAAGAGAAATTATCAGAGGTGGACTTTTGGCAGTAGCTTTTGGAGCTAACCCAATTTCTTTGAAGAAAGGAATGGATAAGACTGTAAATGAACTGGTCAAGATCTTGAAGGAGAAGAGTCTTCCAGTAAAAGGAAGGAAAGACATTAAAGGTGATCATTTCTTGTCATTCAAATTACATAAAATCACTTTCCGCATTGTTTTTTCCCTTCTCGTATCCCTTATGGATATAATGTCAAGAGTCTTTTCCCCTTTTTGCAGCTGTAGCTTCAATTTCTGCTGGAAATGACAAGTTCATCGGTAATTTGATTGCTGAAGCTATAGAAAAGATTGGACCTGATGGAGTAATCTCAATTGAGTCATCCTCATCATTTGAAACGTCTGTTTTAGTTGAAGAAGGGCTGAAGGTAATGAAATGATTTTTGCCCAGTAAAAAATATGACAATGTATATAAACTTCTGAATTTAAAATTGAGTTATTCAGATTACGGAAATCTTCATAGAAATGAATGAGGATAAGATTTTTATGATCCTTTGCCAGATATGTCTACTTAGTTGCATACATATTTTGTTATCCTAATCACAAAACAAAATTTCAAAACTAGAGTTGGGCTCTGGTTGATTGTTTTATTCTGTTAGTTTCTATTAGAATTCTTGTTTACATATTCAAATTAATGCACTATTATTTTTTGTTCAGTACAGTTTGACAAGGGATACATGTCCTCCCACTTCATTACGAACCAGGAAAAATCTCTTGTGGAGTTTGACAAAGCTAAGGTCCTAGTAACTGATCACAAGATCTCAACTGTTAGAGAAATTGTTCCTTTATTGGAAAAGACAACCCAACTGAGTATCCCGCTGCTAATCATTGCAGAGGATATCTCAAAGCAAGTACTGGAAACACTAGTGGTGAACAAAAAGCAGGGTTTACTTAAAGTCGCTGTTGTTAAATGTCCTGGATTTGCAGAGGGGAAAAAAGCTATTCTGCAAGATATTGCACTTATGACAGGTGAACATATTCATCACATGCCGACCTTCATTTATCTTTTTCACATGCTTCTGAGATTTATTCAGCACACTTTATGACAACATGGGCCATGATGATTATGTCAATCTCATTTATCAAACGTATTGGTCAACTAGTTTAAAAAATTCCATGGCTGCCTTCAAAGTCTATGAAAGAACATTGTTTTTCAAACTTGGTGAGAACTATAGGTTCTTTACCTCAGACTACTAATACTTCTGCATGACGGTATTAGTATATTTGTTCTGTGTCAGCAAAAATAAATAATCAAAATCGCAACTTTCAGGTGCTGATTTTCTCTCTGGAGATTTTGGTTTGACCCTTGAGAGTGCAACATCAGATCAACTTGGAATTGCAAGAAAAGTGAAAATAACAAGTAATTCAACAACGATAGTTGCAGACCCTTCTACTAAAGCTGAGATTCAGGCAAGAATATTACAGATCAAGAAGGATCTGGCAGAAACAGAAAATGCATACCTGTCGAGAAAGCTCTCTGAAAGAATTGCCAAACTTTGCGGTGGAGTTGCTGTAATTAAGGTCTGCAATATGGAAGAGCTACAATGTCAGATACAATGCGTAGAAATGTCTTCTATTTTTATTTTTATACGTTCCTTATGCTGATTGTCCATTCGTGCTGGAAATTAGGAAAAGCTTATGTTTGTGCATTTGTGCTGCAAAGTAGTAATTATAAATGAATCTCTTCGATTACTGTTCTTTTTCTGAGTTATATTTTTATCATGATTTTATTATTAACTGATTTTCATGTGCCATAGGTAGGAGCACATACTGAGGTAGAACTTGAAGATCGCAAACTCAGAATTGAAGATGCAAAGAACTCTACATTTGCTGCTATGGAGGAAGGAGTGGTGCCTGGTGGTGGTGCCACATATGTACATCTCTCAGAATTTATTCCTGCCATAAAGAATTCTATGGAAGATTTAGATGAGCAGATTGGTGCTGACCTTGTAGCAAAGGTGAGGGCCTCCTTTTCTCACCTTTACTCACACGTACAATTAGGCACACTATCAATCCACATGCACGTATACACGCCCACATGGCCCCTACAGGCATCTATCTGTATATAGGGCAAAAAAGAGGAGAAAAGTCCAGAGTGTTGCCGAGTCTTTTCACTCTTTGTTGTTGCACCTATCATCCAATGTTCCCTTTTCCTCGGAAGGTGACACATGGTTCTATGGTTAGACCTTATGTTAAACAACAGGCAACATCAGTTGAGTCAGTACGCTCTCGATGTTCTTACCAACACGGAATTGGAATTTTCTAGCACACACAGAAAAAGCCTAAGCTACTTCTCAGAAAAATCATTATGCGATTGGCCTCTTTCATTGGATTTGAAAGTCTTAGCTGCTACAATCCATTGATTAGAGGGTTAAAATTTTATTTAATAGCGTAGTCAAGTCAACTTTAATTAAAAAGCATATAGTTTGAACTTTGGATAGGAGATAGCATAAGGCTTGTCTGATATCATTTGTGTTCGTAGAAATTAAATTGTTGAGTTATTATGGTGAATTAAATTGGCAAAGATATTGAAACGAAAGATATATTTCAAATTTTTTTTATGTTGAAATTTTAGCTTAGGATGCAAAATTTTGAACTAAATTTTTATGCCTAAATGCGTTATCTTTGTATAAAAATTTAATATTTCAGTTATGCCTTGTTGAAGGCCTATACCGTTTTCATGCAAAAAAAATCTGTCTCGAATGCAGGCTCTACTTGCTCCTGCAAAAGCAATTGCAACTAATGCAGGGGATGATGGAGAAGTTGTTGTGGAGAAGACTAAAAGTTCTGATTGGAGAGTTGGGTACAATGCAATGACAGGAAACTATGAAGATCTCCCAGATGCGGGAGTTATAGATCCTTGTAGGGTTTCAAGATGTGCCCTTCAAATTGCAGCCTCCATTGCCGGAGTGGTTCTTACAACTCAAGCTGTATTGGTGGAGAAAACAAAGAAGAAAAAGCCAGCTGTTCCTTTTGTTCCGGGAATAACTCCTCAGTAAACACAGTCAAGAGAGTTGCATGAAAGCTGAGGAAGAGGCGAACTGGAATTTCGTATCCCATGCTGTGCAACCAAGCTTCGGAACTCAAGTACAAGTTCTTGTGGATATGATATCAAGATGAAACAAGCTTTGAACGCTGTGACAAAGAATCTGTTAGGAATCAGAATTTTATACGTGAGGTTGAACCTATGCGATCAAGATTTTGTATACGTTCGCGGCCAGCCTTTCAGTTGATATGTTTTTGCCCAAGTTGTAAACTGTGTTCCTACCAATCAAGGATCTGTTCATCTATAAACAGTTGTTGCTTGTACATTTGCTCTTGTACTTTTTACTGATAAAATAGACAGTGAAAACCGTCGTTTTTGGATTGAAATCCGAACGTTAGTTGAGCAGGTACAACAACAATTTACCCATTACTTAACAAAGAGTAATGCTAGGATGCATACAACCATCATCCAATAAGATATCACCAATATCTAGCGGAGGTGTAGCAACAAAAGCAATAATAAATACAGATACTGCAGTCAATAAAGTAGGGATGATCAAAACACCAAAACCATCCAATGTAAAGACTGTGTTTTTAGTGCTGGTTATCCAGTTACAAATTCATCACTTGTCATGTCAAATGGTATACTAATGTAGTATTAAAATATGATATTTCTAGCATTTTCTTCGAAAATGTTACTCTTACTTAATGGAACCTACTTCCATAGCTTTTTAGCTAAAAAGGTCATTGAGATTAACATAACTCATCACTTTGATCCTTGAGATTTAAAGTCGATAGAACTGGTCCCTAAGATTGTCCACAGTCAATCATTTTGGTCATTTCGTAAAAAAATTTCGTTGACTATGGACAATCTTAAGAATACTTTTATTGATTTTAAATTTCACCGATCAAAATAAAGAGTTATGTTAATCTCATGGACTATTTTGGCTAAAATGCATACTTGTATTGGTGGGTGGGCCTTACTTCTGATGGAGAAATGTCTCGTACAAATGTGGTAAGAAAAATGTGATAACTTGTAATATACGTAACATTACTCATTATTTAATGGAAGTTAACAAAAATGTTACTCTTACCATATTTTCCATATCATATTTGTACCATCTATCTAATAAAAATGAAACCCATATGTGTTGTTGGACCTTACCTCTATTAGAATAATGGTATAAATGTGGTATGGAAAATGTGATAAGTGTAGCATTACTCAGAAAGTTAAAACTATATATGACTTTGCATCGAATTTGAATCATTCTTTGCTTGGTTGAGTTGATAAGAAGACGCCATAACGAAAAGCATGCAGAAATCCAAACTGGAGTTTTAGTAAAAAGAATCTCCAACTGTATCACCCAAAGCCATCCTTTTCTCTTCCTTCATCCCTTCACAAAACTTGCCTGGCTATACATAAACTATACATATATATATATATATATATATATATATATATATCCTCCCCTTCTTCTTCTTCCCTTGGGCAAACAAAATCTCGTTCGAATTCCGAAAAATGTCACTGCAGGCTCATCGTCCTCGTGTTACTGTCAACGGAATAAGAAGAATGAGAACACACCGTTACTTCTGGTGCCAACATTGCCAACGTACCATAAGGATTGCCTCTTCCAACCCATATACAATTCTATGTCCCTACTGCTCCACCGAGTTCAACCATGAGCTCGATGTAGCAAATCCTAGGCTTGCCGATCATCTTATTACAGACCTAGAACAACCACCCTCCCCCGCTGCCCGGTTACTGGAGTCCTTGTCTCTCGCCCTCGATTCAAGGCTTCCAAGAGCTCGATGGCAGACGGAAAACGAAGACGAACGATTGTCTTGGATCACCCTCCGATTTGATAGACCACCTCGCACTCCGCGACTCCAAGTTTCTGCGTCATCAGAAAACCTTGTGCCTCGACCAAATTATAATCGCGAGGATGGCGCTTTTGAGGATGCGGTAAGAGATGTTACTGGAGAGACTTGGACTGTTGAGAATGACCGTCCAGGTCCCCCTCCGGCAGCAACTTCTGCCATTCGAGCTTTGCCATTGGTGACAGTCTCGGAAGGGCAGTTAGCGAACGAGCCCAGTTGCCCCGTGTGCAAGGAAGCGTTCGAGGTTGGTGGGGAAGTGAGGGAGATGCCATGCAAGCACGTCTACCATTCTGATTGCATACTCCCTTGGCTTCACATCCACAATACTTGTCCGGTTTGCCGCTACGAGCTTCGAACAGCCGGCAGCTGTAACCCTAATGACGATTACTATGGAGATGAGGAGGAGGTGACTGAAAGCCCAGATATTTGGGGGTGGTGGAATCACTTCATATCCTTCTGGCCATTTTCTGCATTGGTTAATTGGACGCAACGTTACTTGGATAACCAACAACGTACTGGAGGTAATTTTCTACTTTGAAGTTTGAACATTTTAGATTACCAGCTGCAAATAGTATTAAAATATCGGTATCGGTAGAAATATTGATATGCATATTTGTGAAAGTATTGATAGATGTATCGATATCAGTCGTTTTCGATGAAAATGATGAAAACTTGTTAAAAACGTGAACTTTAAAATGAACGGTAGAAAATGTTAAAAACTGGTTTAGACAAAATATAAAAAAAATTCCAATATTTAATATGGGTTGAAGTTTAGACTTCATCGTCTTTCTATATCTTTATCTAATGGTTTTGATATTTTTACCTGAAATAAATATCGACCATATTGAAAAAAAAATTAAACAATAATTGCAAGTTTGAAATGAAAATTCTGATTTCGACGCTTATGTTTTTGTTTTTTAAATGAGTTTTTTTGTATCGTGCAGACAGAACCTGGTGGTCCCTCTTGGATGATTCTATAGGACATTTGTTCCTTAATTGAGCTGGTAAACCGCAAAACATATTACAAAAATTTGTGAATTACTTTTCTTCAAGCACGCATTGGAAGATGTATGGTTTGTTTGATATTGCTTTTAAAATGATTAGAAACACTTTAGATTCTAAAAACACCGTTTTTTACAAGAAGCACCAATTGCATGAAGCAATAAAGTATTTTTTTCATAATTCATTTGCATTTTTACCAATGATTAGTTCTAAAAGCACTTTTAACCATTTTAAAAGAACTTCTAAACGATCTTTTAATTTGGCAGGTAAATCCGAACTAATAAATTAGAAAATTAGAAAATTAGAAAATTTTTGTTGGTATTAAACTTTTCTTTTTCCTTTTATTTTTCTTTTTGTCTAATTCTGTTATGTATTAATCCTCCATTATTTTCATTTCTTGTATTTGTTGCAGTTTCTTTTTAGAACAGATTGTACAATTTGGAGCACTTTTAATTAGTTTGATGGATTCAATTTATCAAAGAATTGTGATTGTCCATAAGAAATCAGAAGGAAAAAATTATGTTTGTTCATTGACGTTTTAAGATTTATACAATCAACCTATTTAGTAAAATGAGAATGTTGTTGTTGTTCAGTCCTCAAATAACATTGTACATAAACTAAAGAAAAGAAATATACCTCTGTCATCTCTAATTCCATTATTCATATATACTGTTGCTTCTCTCTATCTTTTTTCTATTGGAAAAAAAATATTACACATAAGACAATATGTCAATTTCAAATTCCTTCAACTAGAATGAAAACTAGCTAGCTCTAGCTAATAAAAAATCATATATACATTTTTTATAGGGCTAACTATGTTTTGAGGTGATTTTTAAAATGGGTCATGAGGTTTAGTTTTCTCACATTGCCCCCTAAGTTTTTGAAGTTGTATCAATGTTACCTTTGAATTTACATCTAAATATATCTTTTAAGTTGATGAGTATTTTTAGTCAATGTGGTGCAAATGTGGTTTACATGTCATCGCAAGTGTATTCAGTTGAGATGTTGAGGGATTTTAATTAAGTTTCTAGAGATTCTATATAAAATTTTGAGTGAATTTTCTCAAATTCTCAAGGACAGATGTGAGATTTAAGAATGCTTAGAATGCATTATGAAACCTCTCCAATTCCCTTGAATTTCTCAACTTTTTAAAATATATTAAATCAATTTCTAATCGAATAGACCTAGAATGTTATAAACTCCTTTAAAATTCTGATTGTATACACCTAAACTTTGAAGAGAATTATTTAAAATCCTGATTGAATACCCCTAAATTTCTAAAAAGAATTAAAATCACTCAAAATCCCAATTGAATATATCCCCTAAATTTATAAGGATTTCATGCTCACTTTGTCATCAATTTAATAAAGATTCAAATAATTTATTACACAAAAGGTGTAAAAAAAGTAATGCTAGGTAGACTAAATTGGGAAACTAAATGATGTGTCACCAATAAAAAATAAGCACGTTAATCAACACTTAAGTAATAATCCAATCATTAACTTACATGTCATTTAGAGGGGGAGTAGTCAAATGAGGATTTTAAAGGATTTTAAAAGACTTTAGAATCATAGTGTAGTCAACTAGGATTTAAAATATTTTAAAATAATCCATTCAAATACAGGGGTAGTCAATTAAAGGATTTTAAAAGACTTTAGAATCCTAGTGTAGTCAACTACGATTTTAAAGGATTTTTATAGAGTCCATGCAAATTTATAGATATTAAAACATTCATAGATTTTGAAGGATTTCTTTCAATAAGAGATTTTGTAGGATTTGAGAAGGGATTATAAGCATAACAAAATCCTATCTCCACCCCTATGATTTCTTTTCAACCCCCTTGCTCTTTCTCTCTCTTTCTCTCTCTCTCTCTCTCTTCATTATGCAACTTGATCTTTCTTTCTCACTCCCCATTTTCTTCCAAACATAGAACATGCCAACCTGATTTCCTTTCACGTTCATTCATCATCATCCCAGTTGCAAACTTAAATTTTTTGAATTGTACAATATTTCTTGAATTTTTTATTTCCTTTATTTTGGATTGTGTAATAGTATTTCTTGTAATGCTTTGATGGGAAGTGTGACAGCCCGTCCTTAATTTTAAGAATTTTTAAAGTTTTAATAAAGGATTTTACAAAAATGCCCTTCGAGGCACGCACATCATTCGAGGTTAATCGTTGTGTCGTGCCATCTAAGATTTGTTTTCTTGACATATCCTCGTAGTACTCGTCGTTACGGACGTGTGGGCGCAGACGGTTCGTGATTTGGAGTTATATCGAAGAAGTTATTAACGTTTGAAATTTGGAATTTTAAGGAATTATAATTTTAGTAAAATATAGAAATTCTTTTATTAAAATTTGGATGGCCCAGATTAAAGGATTTTGAAATGGATGGCTGGGATGAGAAAAATGAAAGTTTTGTGTGGGTGTGTGCGTGGGAAGAACCAGAAAAACAGAAAAGAGGAAGAGAGATTGGGCAAAAACTGCCCAATCGGAGAAGAAGGAGAGAGAGCGAATCAGAGGCAGAGAGGGGAAGAAACTGACCAATCGGAACAGGGAAAGGAGGAAGGGAGAGAGGGTGAGAAGCGGAGGAAAAGAGGAAATGGGTTGGGGAGAACCCGTGGGTCGTTTCGACCCGGCGGTGCCCACGCCCAAATTCGATGGATTTCGTCCAAATTTCCGACGAATTGAGTCAAGGTACCACTCCTAATCATCATCTAGGTCTTCCCTCTTTACGTTTCACCCCAAGAATCATTGAATTTCGTTGTGATTTCGCGAAGAACACCCCTACGGGTGCCGCGACCCTTTTGTTTAAATTCTCCAAATTTTGAAATGTTTTCTTTCAATTACTAACACCTTTAGCATTCCTTTAGGACCTAGAACAAAGCCCAAGAGGTAATTGAGGCGTTGGAACAAGTTTGAAGGTCGAATTGGAAACACCCAAATTCTAGGGTTCTTCACGGTTTTGGTGAAATTGAAGCACATCCAGGCCAAATTGGCCTTGGTCTCAGGTATGAAAGTTGTTCTACTCATTGAGATCTTCAAATCTGCAAATTTTGGTAATTTTTTGGAAATAGTTGAATTTTTCCGGCGAGCCGGGGGCGGCCAACCGCCACCCGCGGCGGCCCGCGCGGCGGCGCGTGGCCAATGGCCCGCCAATGTCATTATTAGCTTGTGATTAAGGTTCTAGGTTCTGTTTTGATAATTGATGGACGTAAATTGAATAATTGAACCTAAGTTGGTTACGATTCGTGGTTAGATGAAAATGTGAATTGACGATCCGACCGTTGGATCGTCATCAAACTTTGATACGTTGTAATACGTAATATTTGAGGATTATAGGAACTTACGGATTGGGAATCCGATTTACGGATCTTCTGGAATTGAAGTTGTAAGTTCATAAAATAGAATGTTAACCGTCACTTAGTTTTGGAAATTGACGAAGATCCGACCGTTGGATGGTAATGAAATTTTAGGATGTTGTCCTAGAGGTATATTGTGGACCTCTGGAAGTTACGGATTTGAAATCTGAATTGCAGATCATCCGGATCGAACTACGTAGTGACGTGTCTTATATAAGTTATGTATTCTATCGGCAGAATTTCTGAGGTTGGATTTGATTGTTGTTCTAGGCGCTAATCGTCATGACGCCTTGATGTACGGTGCTAGGGAGTTGTGGGCGAACTCCAGGTGAGTGGGCAGTTTTGTTTTCGTATTACCTATATACTATTGTTTTTCCCAGAAAAAAAAAATGCTTTTATGCGAAATTATGTTTTGAAAATGCCATGCATAGAATTATTTGGAAAATGTGAATTTCATATGAGTTATATGATTGATATATGATGCATACATGTTGCATGGTGCTGTGGAGGCACAGGTAAGTCAGGTGAGTTCGTTTATTCATTGAATTGTTGTTGTTGAGATGTTTGAGCTCATAAATCTGCACCCTAGGTGTTAGTGCTTATATTTATTCACCACACCGCACGCTCGCCTTGGATCCAAGTAGGTGGATGTCGTACAGACCATGTGAGGGTTCCGACATGCCAGTCGTACAGACCATTAGAGGGGTTCCGACTGGTGGGTGACCTTAGATATGCGCGCTGATGATATGATGAGAGAAGCACTAGAGCGTATTTTACACCTTTCATCGTATAGACTACCTTACGTAGTTCCGAGTGATGTGCAGAGTAGGGCCGTATAGGTCACTGTGGTGACTCCGGCTTAGTGAGATATTGAGCTATTGAATTAATCGTATAGGACCAACTGCAGGGTCTCCGATTGATTCCTTATTTCACCTGATTTATATTTTGATTTATGGCATGGCATGTTTTTCTTGAAAAATGTTAAAGATTTGGGATTCAAGCTTTGAGATTTCATATGGTTATATATATATATATATATATATATATATATTTCTGAAAAGTGTTAAAGGTTTGAGATTTGAGCTTTTTGCTTATGTATATGTTATATATATGCTATTTTCTGGGAAAGTATACAGGTTTTACGGTGAGGGGTTATAAATGCTTTAAATGAAAAGTCTTCGAAAAACTTTGTTTTACTGACCCACTCAATTTTGTTTTGCGCCCCTCCAGGTTCAAGTTAGCAGAGCTTTGGTGGCCACGAGGAATCCAACGGTGTTCTGACAGAATTCACAAAAGTAGGACTCACCCTCGGGTGTGTTATCTTAGTAATTGGAATTTTATTTTTAAAGCTTCCGAACTGTGTAAATGGTTACGTCACTCTCACGTGACGGCCAGCACGCCCTCCTTCGGGACGGGGTGTGTCAGTTGGTATCAGAGCCTAGGTTGCAATTCTGGACATCTTGATAATTTCCTAGTGTCTTCTGTCAGAACTATACCGCCTCGTAGCGAGCCACGTAGTTCGGATGAGCCTAATTTCCCTGATATAGTAGTTTGGGGGGGGAAACTATTGCCATTGTGATTCAGTCTATTATCTAAAGGGACCTTTTGAGACTGGTTATAAGTTAAATTTGAATCCCTTAGGGATATGAAGGACCTAAGGGAGCAGATTGATGGCTTAATCAATTGGGAAAAGGCGTTTCAGATTATGCAAGGTTAAGGGAATTTTCCTCCCGATAGGTAGGTCGAGATGATTACCTAGTTTTTGAGTGATGAATCTGCATTTTGATGGAGATAGGAATGTTATCCGACAATATCGGAAGGACAACTGTTTGGAAGTTGTTTAAAGAATTGTTTAAGAAAAGTTCATTCCCCCGGCATATTGTGATGGTAGTAAACAAGAAATTGCAAATGTGAGACGAGGAAAATGACGACAGATGAATATTATAGAAAGCTTACAGACTTGCCTTATTTCCATTCTGATGATGTTGTTAATTCGGTCGAGGTGTTATGTCGTTTTTGGCTGGATGATAAGAAGAAGTTGCGTTCTTTGGCGATCACTATCCATTGTACTTTTTACCAAGAGTTTACGGGATGCTGTTGGGCTTTGAAGACTTTGAGAATATGATCAGCGAGAGTAAAGAGGAATAAGAAAGGAATGAGAATCAGAATAAGACGATAAAGTTAAAGATTCGTCATATCAAAGACCTCGGAGGACTCAGAGCTTCAAAGGAAGTGAAATTAGAGCTAATTTTCCCAGCTTAAGTTTTTACTGCCACTGGTCAGAGGCGAAGTGATA